TTCTCTCTGATCTCCTGAAGGACCTCCAGGGGGAAGCCATCTCTGCAGTGGAGATCAACGCGCGCCTCGGCGGCAGCGTGAGGAAACCGATGAAAGGACAGATGTGGAAAACAGAAGAAAGCGATCCGTTCGGATTGGTTTGGAGCGATAGGAGGGTCAAGGTTCCTAAATTGGATGTGTGTTTTGGATTTTGTTTGTGCGAGAGGAAGAGATGTAGCAGTGAGTCCATCTGAAGTGAATTCTTGCCTTTCTTCTGGCATTTTCCTCTTAGGTTCCGAAAATGGGGGAAGCACTATTTGCCCTCCCTGATGTTTGCTCATCGAAGACAGATGTGCAACAACTTCAAGGAGCCAGCGAGAGAAGTGGCTCACACTGTGAGCTACAATAAGGAATTGAGACTCCAAGACTTTTGTCAAGAAAAGGCGCAGATGGCACAGATACTGTCTTTATGTTGAGCATGTTCTTTCTTGGGAAAGCGAAGCTCAAGATGAGGCATCAATCCAATCCAAGCTTTCTCCCAAATCCGCACTGTCCCACCGAGCTGAATCCCAGCAAGCCTCCATGGCAGGACCCTGGTGTCCAGCACTATGGTGGTGATATGTTCAAGGAGAAAACGCAGCACGTAGCATGTTTAACGTGACTATGAGTGTTTGGGTATGCGGCACTAGAGGATCAATAAGTGTGCCTTCACAGCCATGACAGTCATATGTTCATCAATATGGGTTTCAAGTCTTAACTCTTGGGGGAGAAACAGCTTGCTTTGTGAGAGTGACTGATGGTTTTGGGAGTTTGGAGCTCCAACCTCTTACTGTTCATGAACAGGTGGGAGGTGTGAGTTGCACAGTGGCATTGCAGTGACTTGTAGAATGTTCAACTGTTAAATCTCCAGAATGTTCAACTGGCCTCGGTGTAGCTTCAAACCCTACAGAATGACCCTTGTCTTGGTCCGGCATTTTGACCTATCGACTTCGATGTTCTGCGAAGCGAAAGGTGCTGAAATGTTTGCTCGATCTGTTGAGGGGTTACCAGTCACCAAGCGAAAGCCATGGCGAAAAATCATCAGATTGGTCTCACCATTGTCAAACTCCCTTTCCCTTCATCCTCCGCCCCGAGAAACGAAAAGGATGTAAACAGACTGCCCAGACTGCTCCAGGATCTCCGAGACGAAGCAGATGATAAGTTCAATCAGTCCGGATGCCCAGAGTCCAGGTGTGTCGAGTTTGTGTCGAACCAAGACACGTCGTGGAACACGTCGTGGAACACTTCGTTGATCCCAGTCGTTTCGCTCCAGTCCATCAGTTCAGACCAAGGATGAGGCACCCTCAGTTTGAGAGCAGAGTAAGCTTGATAGGCGAACACCGTTCATCCCAATCTTCGCCTGCTTTTGGGAGCCCAGGCTGCCGCCTCCGGAGCCCACCAACAGGAGCGAAGTTCATTCATCGGGGTGAGTACAGAGACAGACAGATTTGTATTTTTCAGCAAGGAACTCACCAAATACGCAAGCTGTTTAAGACAATGTGTGAATGTGAATGTGAATGTGTGTGGACGGTATAGAACATCATGAGAGAGCACACGCACGCCCCTCAATTGTGGGGAGTGTTGAGGAAATTCAGCATTGCTGAGGTTGATTCAATGTTGCCGGCAAGTTTTCAGACTTCTCCAGTTGGCATCTTGCAACTTTCTCGACTTTCTCCCAGCGAGGAATGTACGAAGCTATGGCTACGCCAGCGCCCCACCGGTCCGTAGCATGGCGGCGTACAATGATGCGAGCGCCGGATGAGGTGGGATCATTCCGCAGTGCCGAGATAGGACAGGGAGAGAGAGAGAGAGAGTGATTTGGATCCAAAAAAAGGGCCACTGAGGAGTCATTTCTTTGGCATGAATTGCTCTCCAATTCTTTCCTTCTTCTTTCTGGAATTGTTTGGGGAGCAGTGGCAGGTGAAGGTCGAGGCATCCAACCTGTGAATCGCATAGTTGGCATAGATCACATGGATAGAGGCAGTGACGACAGAGCCGTGAGGCTTTGCTAGCAAAGCTGCCCGGACACTGGCAAAGTCTTCGAAGGGTGTGGAGATTTGTATAGAACTCTTTTTTTCAGCAAAACTTCAGATTTCTTGATGAAAGATATGGAGGATTATTTATGTGGCTGCTAATCTGCGGCTGCACTTGGGCTTGTTGCTACCTTATCACTTCTGAACTCCCGAAATGCTCAGATGATTTCCGGCGGACATGTGCTTGAGCCGAAAACAAGGTCGACCCACGAGTTGCCTCCACGGCCCCCCCGACCGTTCCGAGCACATTTGAAGCGTTTCCGACCCTCCGATGTGTCCGTTTCCTGATTGCAGATGTAGGAGAGCTCAACGGAGAGGGCGAAAAAGCAGAGTCGATGTGAGCTTGCGGCTTTGCGCGCGTGAGGCATGTGAACAGACAATTTCAACTGTTCATTGCATCATTCAGATTGACGGCCGTTCTGTAATTTCGAATAATGGATTGTTGGATTCCATACCCGGCACGAATACACCCATTCACTTCAAAGGAACTTCCACATGCCCCCCAGGAACATCCCCGGAGTTTGACATAAATTTGTCTCATGCAACTTGGAGATTCTCCAAGATTTCATGAGTGGATGTTCTATGATTTGTTGCTTCACCAGGATGTCTCTCTCGACTGTTTCCCCCCCAAGGCCTTGCGCGCTGGGCGGCGGGTGAAGATCCGCGGATTAGTGCAGCAGGCAGAAAAGCACGGAGGTCTGACATTCCACACTTCATTTGTGTGAAAACATCCCCGTTGGTCCTGGGGAGAGCGTTCAGTTACGCCACCAAGTCCACCACCAAATGGGGTGCCTCGTGCCCTCAACAGCAAACGTGTTAAGCCATGTGCAGGATCTTCCTAACCAGGGTAGTGAAGCTTGAAACAGGATTGATCATCCGATCTGCGCCAGAAACCGAGTTTGATGTGGGAATTTGGCATGTTTTCTATGAGTCACTGAGAAAAATGCTGTGCTTCGGCCCAGACTCTTCCGCCACAGGCTGAGCTCAACGGCCAATTCGGCCAGCTCCTACGACTCGTGGGGTGACCCAGGCGCCGATCGAGTGAATGCTGGACATGGATGAAAGTCGTACTGCGACAGCTGGGCTAAGCGCAAACTACGTAGCTGGTCAATCTTCAGAAAGGCTAGGACTGGCTTAAGAAAGATCAAGTTTCGGTGCGGCGCTGCTTCGCTGTGCTCACCGCTTCGACTGTCCGAGACGACAAGAAAGATCAAGTCATGGACGACCATGGCTTTGAGTCCAATCGACAGAAAGCCACTGGTTTGCGTGGACGAAATATCTGAGGACACTTCCGTGGAGCCACACCGGTGGCTGGTGCGAATGAAAGGCCAGAAGGAGGCTCGGACGCCTGCCGCTCGTAGTGAGGACGTACGGCAAGCATTTGGAAGCCACGAGCTGAAGAGACATGGAGACATGGAGTGAGTGAAAAGGCTCAGTGAAGCATAGATTGAATGGATGTGTGGAGGATTCACATCTCTGGAGCTGAGACATAATTCACTTGTGACTCGCAGCAAGAGAACAGCAATCAGCTGCCAGGTGATCTACCGGCTGCTGCCCGAGCGGCTGCGCCTGGCGCCGCTGCCAAAGAAGAGGCCAGGTCTTAGCACCTTTCAGACACTTCGATTTGAAACCTGAAAAGAGTCTGTCTGTACTCATCAAGATAAAAAGAGAAAACGCACCCTTAAGAAAATCAAACCTTTTCTCGCATCATGTGCTGCTCTGAGTGGAGTTCATGCAAGGCCTGCAGCTTGCGAGGCCAGCTGTGGTTGCAGCAGTTGAGCAGAGAAGGTCTTGGAGACCGATAAGTAAAAGTCAAGCTTGAGCTTGGGTCGTAGGTCAAGATGAAAACCCTCCAAACTCCGGTGTTGTTCTTCTTGGAAAAAGCGCCTCATCATCTCTGACTGAGCTCCCATATGTGAAGTTTTCGGTGCAAATTCTGGCAGGTGAGTGAGGAGAAGCCTACAGCTCCAACAGCAGAAGTGGATCAGATACAGCTTGATCCAACATCTTCCATTACAGCTGCTGAGGTGGAAATACCTGAGAACAGTAGCTGAGAAGATATTTATAAGAGAATGGGAGTTGTTGTTTGGCGGATGTTTCTTGATGAAACATTTAACATGTCCTTTAGAATGTGTTTACCTAGCATTAAAGCAAAGTAAGCCTGGCATCGGCAGATTCGTTCTACGCGAAGGAGTTTGGGCTGTTTCTCTCACCTGTTTTCAGGCTACCTCTTTTCTTACCGTGTGCCGAAGGCACTTTGTCAATGTACCATTAACGTTCAAGAATGTTAAGATTGGCTGACAGAGAAAAGCCCTCCCCTGTCACAAAAACACTTGTTTGATGAGCTCGCTGGTCGGGCTAGGCAGTGGTTCTGTCAGGTTGTTTGGCAGTCAAGTACTTCATGGAGAGGCTTATAAGAAGCTTCTGAGCCTTGTCTCGTGACCATTGGCCAGCCTCTTCCGGTGAATCGATGTGTTTTTCAAATTGTTGGCACCCATTATAGTTGCCAAGATGTGCAGCTTCAGAAGGTTCTGAGTCTCGATGGTGCCTTTGTAGACAACAAGTACGAGGGGGCATCACCCACCTTCTTCCAATCTTGACCAAGAATGGGGAGCTATTGTCTTCAACGAAGCTACTGAAATGTTCCGGCTACTTCATTTCTGCAAGTCCTGGAAACTACTTACTCTATCAGGGTACACGCATCGCTCCAAGTGTGTAGAGATACAGGTACAACCCCCACCTCCTGGCAGAGTGCCGGTATTGGATGATTCCCACGAGTGCGGAGGAGACAACTGAAAAACATGTTTACAAAAGCTCAAACCACACAGAGATGTTCAAATAGTCAACTTGTCGACACACCAAGGTAAGATCTGCAGGAAACGTACACAGAGAAAGAATCCTCGGACTCTCCCTCCATCCTTTGCCAGTCCCAGTCCTTCCACGTGGCAGGCTTCGCCTTGGGCTGCGTTTGTCTTGGACAGGGCTCCGATGCCGCCGGGCTGGCAGACCTTCAGCCGGATGACCTGGAAAGTCTTCGGCCCGTCGAGGGTATCAAAGATTTCGAAGGACTGATCCAACCAAAATAGAGCGTTTCTTGAGTTTGCATGGTGCCGGTTGGGTTTCTTGAGAGTTTTCTGGACTCGCAAACGACTTTCTTTTTGGGGATTTGGAAGCTGACGATTTCCAGAAATACTTCTACAGATTGACATGAACCGCAGTCGTTACAATCAAAATCCCGCGGTGTGTCTTTCGCCGAATTCATCTCAGCGTCTCAGGCTGGACACGTGGCTCTTACGCCGGTGGCACCCAGACCGTTCTTCGCCATGTCGGCATTGGATTGAACCGGCTGGAACTGTAGTGGGCTGAAGTTATCAGCTCCAATTTGGAGGACTCTTTGGGGTCTAGTAAGCGGTTGGGATGAAAACCCTAGGGTTGGGGAGAGTTTGCTTGTTTGCCGGAAAATGAACTGATATGTGGAGATTTGTTTTGCCCCCACTCTGCTTCAGACGGAATGAGCACTGAGCTTCGAGCTGTTTTCAGGCTACATCCTCGGTGGGCCAGAGATGCCGATGCCAGGCAGAATGCACGCTCTGTGGGTTTGGATTCCGATGAAGAAGCTGAGTTTTTTCCCTTTTGCAAATCACTAGGTGATTTGAGTGGTGCTCTAATTTCTTTTGTTTCTGTTGTTTCTCTCGTTTCTTGTTTCATGTTTGTTGCTAAAGGACCTTGTTTTCCTTTCATTCGCAGTGCCTTGCAGGTGTAGCCACACGCGAGACCAAGCGACAACAGGCAAGGTCATTTGGATTTGAGATGGTCCAACAGTGTGTCGGAGATGGAAGGGACGGACGAACTGTGTTTGGAAAGGAATCTCAAACTGCTAGCATCTATTTTGGCCCTGTTTCTGTTTCTGGCACTGGCTTTAGGTGTTGTGGTTGAACGATCAACTGTAAATGTCATGCAAAGGCTTAGGACTTCTTCTCAACTTTCACCTTGGGTAGATCGCATCACGAGAGCGGAACTGGACCAGTGGATAAAACACTGGTCTAACCCTGCAGAACCCAAAGAAACACATTTGAAAGACATGATTCTAGACATGTATCTAGAATCTAGAGCAATGATTTCTTCCTTTGATGTGTTTCACCAGCCATCCAGAGCAGCCCCTCTGGATGCATAGGCTCTCCTACCCCTTCCGCCGGAGGAGCCGACGTGTCAACTCTCCGAGCCGGAGGACAGAAGAGCCGAGCCTTTCGTCGTGTGTGTTTTTGTCAAAGCCCTCCGCAAGAGGCTCTTTCTTGGTTGCAGAAGGTATGCAAAAAAAAAGGTTTTCAAGTCGTGGCAAGATTTGTGCCCTCCTTTCGCCGCAGCGGTCAGTCAATGACGGTTGGGGTTCCTTCGATGTGAACTTCGGAGATTTGTCAAAATGGTTTCCATTGTGGCCAATGGTTCGCTACTAGGAACAAGTGCCTTACTAGTAGTAACAAGTGCCTTACTAGTAGTAACAAGAAGCTATTAGAAACAATAAATAGAATTTAATAGCTTCTTGTTACTACTAGTAAGGCACTTGTTCCTAGTAGATTAACTAAAAGGGTTTCCATATTTGACACGGTTCTGGGCGAACGATGCATCGCCAGGGCATCAACACCTGCATCACCGCGCCGGCGGGGTGCATCGCCTTGGCGTTAGTCTTCCTCCACCCGGGAACCACAGAGAGCGGCGACGGTGGTGGTGGTCCTTCGGCACGGACGGAAAGAGAAAGGCAACTGCAGCAGACGACCAACCAGACCTCGATCTATACTGGATAGCTTCACACATACGTTTCATATTCAAGTGGTAGAAGGATAATGGGATGTCTACATCATATGGATCTACATTGGATCATATGGATGATTTGGATCATCTACCCTTGTTGGCATGCACTCGGATTGTTGATCTCTCCAACTGAGAAACCGGCTGTGAGGCACCAACTGTGAAGCGGTTGCTTCCCGTGTGGCCATCCCGCAGAACTTGCAGAGTCCTCAGTTCGAGCATCCGAAACGTGAGCAACCGCTGGAGAGAGGAGAACCGCTTTGGAGAGGAGAGGAGAGGAGAGTTGAGATGCGATGAAAAACGAAAACCCAACAGAACAAACCATCCAGCGATTGTTGTGCGATTGCGCCACAGGTTTCAGCTGGAGCAATTGCGCCTTGCTCTCGGTGAGAGCAGCTGAGCAGCTCTTTCACAATGACATTGCATATTCTAAACATATACTGCAATCATACCGATACCTATTGTGGAGAGCCATTTTGTAGCAAGATGGTTTGACATGTTCTTTCTCCTCACTTCTTTCTGACCTGCTCATTGCATTTCTCGATTGGTATTTTTTCGGAGTGGCCGTCCACGGCATCGGGTTGGTCACCCGGCTTCTCAGTGAACCTTCTAAGGCCCAGACTTTGCGATGCTTCGAATTGTGGCGAAGAATCTCATTCTGTCGCTTGGCGGATCTTCCACATGAGGCTTTCTTGATAGAAAGAGGAAGAAAGGTTGGAGGGACTTCAAGTCCTGAGTTCGCCGTTCTTTTCCGGATTCGAACGGGTTTTGGGATTACTACCAATAGCAAGGACGCTGCTAGGTTAGAGGCCGTTACTACTCTAGATTGCCCGTAGCAGCCTCGGGCTTCGATCAGTGGGAATGTGGTGTTTGAACGTGTGATTCAATCGCCGAGGTGGGACCAGATCGAACCCACGGAAGCATGGCTCGAGAGGCACACGGCGACACAGACGTCATGTGTTGTGGCTTTGCAACGAAAGTGCTTCTTGCTGCTGCCGTTAGCTGAGTACTCGAACTTTTGCTATGAGGCAAGTGCCAGCATTCCTGCTGGCATTGAACGAAGAGAATGCAACTGAGACCTGGCAGCATTCGATTCGAACTTGGAAGCTGTAGAATGTTTGGCGACACTTTGCTTGGTAGCTCTTCACTGGTTCGTTTGCTTGAAAGGGCCGTTGCTGCTCTCAGCAAAGCTACATGTGTGAAATCTCATGAAACTTCCAGAGCGTCAAAAGCTAGAAGGAAGCTGAGCACAAGAACCACAACCACTGCACTACTCAAAGGCGTGTTCAATTTGGGATATGAGTTCTTCACTTGAAAGCCGGAAGCAGACCGGCACAGGAAGATAGCTCTCACGTTTTGCAACAGAACGTATTTCTGAAAACTCGAGGTGATTGACTCCGTGTAGCTGGGACTCGCCCGGCTTTCCTCAACAAGTGCCTTCCTTACTTGTCAGCGCTCTGCCCAGGATGACCTGGACTGGCTTCTGGTGGGGCAGACGAAGGTCGGAGATAGAGAGTGGAGTATCACAATCCACAGGTGCTTTTGCCTGGATACTTCTCAAACAGGTTTTTGGCTTTATGTGGAATAATTTCGGCCACCTGCTTGGCCTAGTTGATTCTGCCAGGCAAATCTGGCCGCAGGCAAGCTCGGGCCGTTTGTCGTTTTCTCGGTAGTGTCCAAGCTCCATCAGTTTCTGTCCAAACACGGCCAAACAAAATGCTTTGACTAAGACCATTCTTTTTGTACTCCTAAAAACTTTAAAACTGCAGCTTTCAAAGAAGACGTGCAAAAAAGAAAATCATCGCTGCCATACTCGTGAGGTGGCTGCTTGGTGTGCTGCTCAGAATGACTGTCCACAGGAGCTGAGATTCGCCGTGTCAGTCGACCAAGGCGTTGGGTCTACGATTCGCCGGCTCTTCCAACAAAGCCGCGAAGCAGCTCCTCATTGCCAGGCCAGGAGCCTGTACTTTCGCAAGAAAAGTAGAAAACGAGTAGTCGAAGGAGGGGCCGAGTCGAGCCAAGGTATTCCAGAGCCGAGCCCTTGCAAGTTAAGAGTACATCTTCCATCTAGCTAACAAAAGCCCTTCCTAAGAAAGGTTCTTTGCAGACTACTGTAAGAGGTCTGTGATCTTGACAGACTCTTGGCCTTCCGCGATGCCAAGCGCTCCGATGCGCACCCGGCACTCATGGCCTCGCGACCGGCGCCAGGCGGGAATGGGAACACTCCAAGCAAGCAGGATTTCATGTGTGTAGACACATGTCTACACTTCAACATGTCGCATCATCCTTTTGCTTGCTGGAACTGATATGGACCAGTCCCAGAGATATGTTTCGTTGGTGATTTTTGCATCCGGTAAAGGTTTCGCCGGGACGTTGTGTTTGCCGCTTGCCTTTCGGCTGCAGACGACTTGGACGTGATCACTTTGGAGACCTGCCAATCTACTGTGGCCATGGCGTTGGGGATGGTCATGGCCGGCACAGGCGAGGTGACAAACCAGGATATAGCTAGCAGCTAGAGTGCTTGAGCAGAATTGTAAACTGGAAATCTCACTGAGATGTTGCAGGAGATCTAGATGCTTTGCGGACTTTGAGAAGTTTGCGGAAGAAGACCTCCTTGGACACAGGTTCGGCTGGCTGCATGTTTCACTCCAAGCAAGTATAAACGGATTCAAAAGCTTGTTGACTCTGACTTGCAGATTCGGGTATTGTTGCTCTGACTGCGTGAGCCACAGGTTACGGTGTACATATGGCAACACACATGGCGATCGGATGGGTCTGTCTTGGTGGAGGACGCTACACCTTCAACCAGGACACTTCAAAGAACGAATCTCTTTGCGTTGATTTCGTTGATTCGATCAGATCTGATCAGATCCGTTTGTTTTCGTTTTGGAGGAACCTCTCTCCATCGCTGCCCTGCTCATGGTCCGACTCGGGACAAGCGCTTTCACCTTTTCGAGCCTTGTGAGTTCACCTGAGGCGGCTTTTCCACGTCTACCGATGGGGTTGGTGGACAACCGGTGTCACTTGCAGGACTGAGTAGCCAGTTGAGTTAGCACACCGGTCGTGTGGATACATTGCATTGTTTGTTGGCAGGCGTTTCGCCATTTGTATGCTTTGGCTGCCAGGCAGAAGTGCTTGCTGTTTGTTTTTGTGAGCTTTGTTTGTTGTGAGTGGTTATGAGCAATTTGGCTAGCCACATTTGCAAATGCACAAGAACCCTTGGAAGAACCTGAATGTGGGCAGGAAGAAGTCTGTCAAGTTTAGAGTCCCAGTCAAGTTTGGAGGGACGCATGTGCTCACTGACTGGTCAATGGCCCATGCTCACTTCGAGTTTTTGGTCTCAGAAGCTGTTTGAGCTCAACACCAGGTATCATTGAAAGCTGCGATGGCGGTAAAACCATGCAAAAGTAGTAGCAAAGGAATCGCCAAATAAAAGTTCAACCAAGACTTTGCGCATGGCAAGTCCGATGTCCAAAGCTAGGAATGAAAACAACATCCAACTGCAACATCCCAATTAGCCTGTATGTCATCTTCCGTTTTGGAGCTTCCACAATTGGGAGTAGGTAGTCACACCTTCCAAGCCTTTGGATCTCTTTGGAGTACTTCTGCCTATGCCATGCGTGTCTTCCTGTTGGATCCAGAGGTCCTTCTGGAGCACCGGCACCGCCTCGAGGTCCCCGCCCTGCCGGGCGCCGTCGGCGCGGACGGTGCGACGGACGCAGCTGGGCTGGCGGCGCCGCTGGCGGCACTGCTGCAGGAGGCCGACCAGAAATTGTCCGCCGGACCTTTCTCGGTGACTTCGAAGGAGACACCACCACCCAGCGGAGACTTGGGACGAAGAAATGATTGTTTCCTCTTGTTTCTTCAGTGTCTTGTTCTTTTTGGGCATGATGTCGTCTCTCAGCTTGAACCTTTGTCTCAACATGGTTCCAAGCTTCTATGGTCAAAGAAAGGAGATGTGCACGACTACTGCAGCTTGGGTCGTTATTGGTGGCCGGACCCCTCGAAGCCAGACGGCCTGCCCTACATCCGGAAGGACGGACAGCCGAACCCGGACCGCGGCAAGGTGGGGGACAACGGACGCTTCGGTGCCATGCTGAAGGCGGTGATCACCTTGTCCTACGCCTGGTTCTTCACACAGCGGGAGGAGTACGCCAGCCGTGCAGCCAAGCTTCTGAGGGTCTGGTTTCTGGACCCCAAGAAGCGGATGAATCCTCATTTGAGAGACTCGGTTTAACGAGCCATGGCCCACCATGAGTGTCAAACTTGATGGTCCAGAGATTTGGAGATTTTCTCCCATGTGTTGAGTTTCTCTCTCTCAATTTGCAGCATTCGACAAAATCTTCTCAAAGTCTTGAATTCCAAAGTATGGCGGCAACAAAAGTCAGAAAGTCCAAGCATTGTTGCCTTCTGTTGCCTTCCGCCAAAACGAGCCCCCCAGATGTCTTTCTTTGTGCTTCACATCCCTCAGGATATGCGCAGGGCATTCCCGGCCACTGCGAAGGCCGCGGCGTGGGCATCGTCGACACGGCGAACCTCGTGGAGCTCGTCGACGCCGTGGGGCTGCTGCAGAGCTCAGAGCCCTGGACCGAGGAAGATCAGCGAGGACGAAAAGAAAGAGACGAAGAGAGAGAGAGAGAGAGA